GCCATTAAAAACAACGAGGAGAGTTTTTTTACCCACGTATAAAATTCACTCTTTCCAAATAGCAACATTAAAACTTAACTTTCAAGCTTTCGCTGCAAAAAGAGGCAATTATGTCTGGTGGACAAAATACGTCTCTTGTCTCATTTGCTTTCATGAGAATAAAAAAATTAAGTTATTTTTAGGTCAGAAATACGATCATCCGAGATTACAGTATTTTAAGCTAAAACTTGAGTCGAGTGGCAATGATTCTATCTTGCGTACAGAAACTTCTTTTTCGTGATCTGCACTGGCGTATCAAGCTCGCAGGGTACAGTTTCCTTCCTCAACTAGGAACGGCCTCAGAGGAAGTTTGCCAGTTTTTCGCGAAACTATTGTAGCTGGATGCCTTTTCTTAGCTGCTGTTGTAGGGTCGAAGAAAGTTATTCACTTTTTCCCCCATTATCCTACAATCTTGGACAAAATAAATGGAAAACCTAGACCCCTCCTTCCCCCCAAATCAAGGATGGGAAAATGGCGCGTTTTTGCCCTTCGCGCGGCTTCCTCCTTGATTTGGGGGGGATGGGGGTTTGCTGTTCCATTTTATTTTGTTCAAGATTGTAACCTCCCACGCAGACGTTCTTAGGGGTTCGTCACGCGTTCCTGACGAACCCTTAAGAACGTCTGCGTGGGAGCCTACCATTATCCAGAATCCGGGTCAGGGTTATGGGCTCCTGTCCGGGTTAAAGTAGAAGTTGTTCGTGACTGGGAGTTGTCGAGAACGAAAGCACTCACTTTTAATAGACTGATGACTAGAACAATGACAACAAAGTGGCGTGTAAATGCCCTCTATTCGCTGGGGTTGGGCTTTATTTTAAATGATTTCTAGAATCAAGTCTTTATTTAGCAACAACAACAACAACAACTTTCTTGACTTTATCTTCGACATGAAGATTTCAGTGCCAAAAGAATAACAAATGAACAAAGTAAAATAAACGTTAAGGAAGAAAGAAAGGAACAGTTGAATATTATCATAAAAGAAAAAATTGGCAGATTGTAAAACTTGCATCACAGTCAGGTTTGCCGCAAGTCAGTTTCCGCTGATGGCCACTTTGCTGACCTCCTTGACTATTGCACTCGATCAGGAGCCCTGGCTCCTGACTCCATAAAATCTTCGCGCCCCGAGGAAAAACAGTAAGGAACTCATCACGGGTTACCCTGGCTCCAGAGGTCCGTTCTCCAGAAATACCTAATATGAAATGAACCGTGCTTATGGTTTGATAAGGATCCCACTCTTCGCGCCTACCATCAGTATCGATAAGAAAAAATTATCCTCTGGCACCCAGGGTAATCACGGGTCTGGAGACAAGGAAAATCCAGTGAGACAAAGATGAGGGTCTCAATGGGGTGGTGGCTTTTACGGTTATCGGCTAAAATTTTGGCTCTTTTATGGCTATCGTTTAATTTTTTTCAGTTACGGTTAACGAGAAAGTTAAAAATTAACTTCTTTTGTTTCAAAAAGTTAATTATTAATTAACCCGTACTTTTTTGTATCTAAATCCAAGTAAAGGTCTTCGGATCATCTCGGGATGAAATAAGCTATTCTTTTGAAAAATTTTAACATTTGATAGATCACACTTTTTATAAAGTATTCCACTTCTAATATTATTTTACACATAGAAAGCGGGGCGGGAGTGTTAGCCATTGAAACAACATATGAACTCTCCTTTGATCATGAACTGGAAAACCATGAAACAGATGGGGAAGACACAGAGATATGGTTCAACTTAAATGTGTGAATAATAAGAGGAGAAATCCTGGCTGACAAGTGAAATATAATTTGATGTACAGTCGACTCTCTCTTAACGGACACCTCTATAAGACGGACACCTCTGTAAAACGGACACCTAGAGTTGGTCCCAGGCTTTCTTAGCTCCCTCTATTTGACTTTCTATAAGACGGACATCTCTCTAAGACGGACAGATAGTGCCGAACCAAAGGTGTCCGTCTTACGGAGAGTTGACTGTAATGCTTATATTCTAGGGGGGTATTCAGCAGACGTGACTCGGAACAAGTGACAAAGAACTTAATGGGGAGAAAAGATCCACCATATTATTTAGCCTGCGAACATAGCCGTTTCTTCTGGCTCTTTAGCGGCGAGGAGCAAGGAGAAAACGCCTGTATTTGCAGGCTACATGCTATTACTTTAGAGTAGACTAAACATTGTGCGCCATTAAATAAAGAGAATAGTTCAGAATTGCATTTTCAAAGGATCTGTTTGTAGGAATTTCGGCCATCTTGTTGAAGATTCTAAGCTAAGAGTATCGGTTAACAATTTTTTTTGTAAGAAAGAAAATTTTTGAAAAAAGTTTATGGGATTTAATTCGTTCAAGGAAGGCTTTAGCAATTTCTGCTTTTTTAAATATAGATCTAACTTCGAAATTCTGAGAACAAACGCGAACCCATCATGTAATATTAGAGGACAACCTTTTTTTTTTCAAGTGAGTGTTGGTTTCGGTCAGGCGACCGACTCCTGTTCGATCCTTTGTTATTTTCTAACGGGTCATTAAAATCTGGAGCAATCAGCTTCTGTTACTTCTGAATATACAGAGGTGCAATGCTGCCATGATAAATTATTATAATAACAATAACAGTAATAATAATACTAATAATAATAATAATAATAATAATAATGTGATGATGATGATAATAATAGTAACGATAACAATAATGATAATAACAATAAAATACAGCTTACTAGCCGGTTCTAAATAAGTCCTTACACAAATATAAACATGGTACAATGACAACTAAGAATATGGTACAAAAAGCTACAAATCTGCTGGGCTTATATTCAGACAGTCAGCTTTGGCGGATTGCTGTATCTCTCCTCTCTTAGCAATTCTTAATAGTTTGGGATTATCGCCTGTTGAAGGCGGCTCTTGTAACGTTTGAAACCTCTTAATAAAAGAATTTTAATTCCTGCAAAAATAGGAAATAAATAGATAAATACGAGAGAGGATGATAGATATCAAAAACTAAACCACGCGAGTGAAGTTACTGAGGTGTAATTTTGCCGCAAAGACACCAAGAGAAAACTGAAAGCCATTTCCAGGAGCGTACAAAGCTTCTTGATCGTCGGTCAAACAAAAACAACTTAGAACAACACAGCAAAGGACTATTAAACAAACGGGCAATAAGTAGGTAATCACTGAAAAAAGAGCACTGAAACGCCCATGTAATCCTCAAATCGTTTTTCAAAACTGAACGGCTTTGCCACATGCACGCACACACGCGAAGATTGTCGTATGCAGAACGAACTCCTACGACCACTTCACCAACACTCAGGAGTCACCCTGAATGCAAACGATTCGGTTTAAGGGGCTGAGAGTGGATTTAGCAAACTGCGCATACCTCTGGAAAATTCTAGCTACGTTCCTGCAAAGCCAGACTTTTCTCAACTCACGTTATCCCCATAAACGCTCAGTGAGGGATGAGACCAAATAAGAACTCACTACCTCTAAGTCATTTTTTAAACTTTAGTCCTTATATTCAGAGAGCTCGAGGTTGACCTAACAGGCATTTTGCTTTCAACAACCTGTCACCCTTAAGAAACCATCGCGTATGGATGCAAACCACGACGATCCAGACTATCCTAGAGAGTTACTCCACACTGCATGTAAGCTGATTTCCATATAATCCTCCGGATGGTCCCAATCGACTGTCAGTCTAAAAAGACAATCCGGCTGAATGATAATATGAAAGCCCTACCTATTAAACCCTTTCGCTCCCTTGGCGAATGAAAGGGGATTGTGTATTAATTTTTGAGTCAGTGGGCAAAATCCTAAGGTGGAACCATCCAAATGAAACCTCTCAAGTACTTTCACATGGTATTTTTCCTTTTTTTACTATATTATAAAACTTTGGGGATAGGAGGGAGGGGAGGGAGAGGAGGGGGAGTAAATGAGAAAATTTAAGGGCGATCGACATCTTTCAAGTTAGCACCTGGTTGGAGTGCGCAGTTTTTAAAAGAGCTTTTCAACTGAAAACCTTAGAGATCACTTTCACTGCTCCAGACTAAAATAAGCAACTTAAACGCAACAGTATCCGAATAATAGAGTGTTTACCAAGGTCTCTGTAGGCATAAATACTGACATGATCAAAGCTTATACCTTTAAGTTCACAGAGAATTACAGATATTTTTTTAAAATATGTGTCCCTTGGGCGGAGATCCAATTATACCATATGCAGGTTTTACTAACTAGTCATCATACTTCCCTCTATTCAATACTGGAATGAAACGAGTACAAGTTAATCCCGGTCCATTATAAAAAGCTACTGCAACTCCTTTTAACCAACGACTTTTCTAATGAAAAAACCATCTATTCTAAAACAATCTATGAACGGCAAACATCACAGCAAAACAGCAAAGCCGGCTGATCAGGTGTGATGTGGTTCAAACTTCTTTCCATGTCGAGACAGGAAATCGCACACCAATCCGTTTTTAAGTGGATTTTAAACCGTTGAAACACGATTACATAATAAAACAAAATACCCAACTAGAAAATAAAAGGTAACTTTCATTTTCATCCTTCGCTTAATTGTCCATATTTGTGTTCGCGGAAACAAACGCTTAATCAGAAGCCTCTTGCCCAATTAGTGACTCGTTCATCCTTAGCAACAAAGAGAGTAATTATAACAGGAAAACTGGAGCTTTGAAAGGATTTGAGTAGATTTACTTATTCAGGAATTTTTCTGATCTTCACACCTGAAGTTTAGATGCTTGATAAAAAGCTTCCATCTCCGAGGAAATTAAGGTAAGATGAGGGCACACGACGACGTGTAGAAAATTACAGCGAAGAACAAAGATTCAAGTTTTTGTCAACGAATCAGAACGAAAGCCACTTCTCGTAAATTCAAGCCCAACGAAGTACAAACTTGACAAAGGGAGCTAAGAAATGAATTCGTCCAATAACACAAGCGAATGTTTGACAAGTCCTGGGAGAAGGGCCGAGCTTTATAACTATCCTCTGCCCATAAGAAGTACAACGGAATTAACCCTCGAAATTGTTATAGGTTGTGTTTTGTTCATTCTTGGCATCACAGGGAATGGACTGGTCTGCTATGTGATCAGCCGCAGCCCTCGTACAAGATCATCAATGTATTTTCTACTGGTACAACTAGCCGTGGCGGACATCCTCGTTTGTTTGGTCTCCATTCCACTGACGCTTGTGTCCACGCAGCCAATACCGTTTCTGCTATTACAAAGCGACATTTCCTGCAAAATGGTGCGCTTTATACAGTATCTTTTGCTACCTGCATCTGTCAACCTTCTTACCGTTACAGCAGTGGACCGCTTCTTCCAAATTTGCTACCCGCTGAAGTTTTTTAACCGAGACAGCAAAATAAAGTGCCTCGCGCTTTGTTCGTGGATATACGCCGCGATTTTAACCCTCCCAGAATTTTATTTCATTAGTACGCGACTGGTCAAGCACGGTGAAAAAGTTTACGTATTTTGCGCAGTAAAGGAGACCTCTAAGGATGCAAAACTTGGCACCATATATTTGGCAGTTCGTGGGGTTTTAGGATTTTTGACCCCTCTCGCGATAATAATAACCCTTTATTACAAAATTATCAAAACAGTTTGGAGCCGACAGACCATTCGCAGCCGAATGCGAAGAAATGTGATCAAGAGTTTAGCGATGGTGGTTATTGCGTTTTTCCTCAGTTGGTCACCGTTTTCAATCATATCAAAGCACTCTATTTTAATGAAGGAACGTTATAATTCCGTTTCAAGAGCGGAAATAATCACATTTTGGATTGGATTGTCTGCGTCGGTCTATAACCCTCTGATTTATGCATTCTACAACAAGAATTTCCGAGACGCGTTTCGCGAAGTTGTCCTTCACAGGAAAACGACTAAGAAGATGGCGTTTAACATTCAGTCACAAGTGAAGCTCGTTAAAAAGCCAGAAAAAGAAACTGAAACCTTTGGCCTACAAAGTGAAACACCCATCTTGCTCAAATACAGCGAATTAACTAATCTACAAAATCAGAGGACGGAAAATAGCCACAACCTCTAAGGGAAAGCCGGCGCCATCCTCCTAGAAAATGCGCTTTATATCGACTTACAAAAATATTTCATGTTACACAAAGCAGAGACTCTGTGAGAGAACGAAGAATCTGAGGTAGGACAATATGGCGACGTTTACTGTTATTTAGCGGTTTAAAAAGGCGATGTGGCTGCGACAAAGAATGGCACGTGCTGGCTGCCCAGTGTAGAATTGACGAGAATTTGAAAAACTGACGGACGTTTCAGAATGTAGACTTTCGCGTTCAATCTACAGCCAGTAAGTGGGTTTATTTACCAGTAAAACAAGAACTAGAAGTCTCTAATCTTTTTTGTATTAAAAATGAGAGCTCTGAGTGGAAAAAGCGACTATTTGTAAAGAACAAAAACATCGGCAAAAGTCAAGATTATGCAATTATTAATTAATGTTGAGATGGCGTTTCTCAGTAAAGGTCTAAAAGATGGGCGGTGACTGAGACAATAGAAGTCACTAACGCATGTAAATCGCGCCTTAAACGCAATTAACACACTCTCGACCACCAACATCTAGATTTCATATCATGCGCGAAGTTTGAGAATTTCAAAAATGCGTTGTGCGTTGTGTTCATCTATTTTCAAATGCTTGCAGATTCTCCGACGTCTTAGTCGTCGTCTTTCTTTAATCCTCCAAAAACCTGAAATCATGAAAACGGTATTTTCAGATATATAATAAGCACTTGGGAGGAGACAGATGAAACAGCTCTATAAAGGAGCTTTTAAAACAACAGATCTCTCGACAAAAGAAAGTATAAAACCTTTCTTTATACTAAAGAATATTGTTTTTCCGGCCCAAGCTGATTATCCTTGTTTTTCTGCCGACGTTATTAGGCTGAAAATATTCTTGTGGTTATTCTGAGATTACAGCGTAAGTGGGGTATCAGTTACTAAAAGTGTTTGTTGTCTAGATCTGTATCAGAATATTTAGCCATTGCTGGTTCTGATTGTTTTATTAGCTAGTTCTACCGTTATGAGAAAGGAAGATTGTAATACAGTTCATTTCAGTACATGTGATTGTCTTGTACGAACAAATTTCAACCCGCAAAAATTATATTCTTTTCAAAGTCTTAGTTTCGGATTTATTCTTTAAAATATTGGTAAAATTTCACAGCCTCCATATTCTTTTAACACAAATTCTTATAAAACAAACAGTGTATACTAAGGGAGTATGCAGTTGATAACGGAAAACAAGGACCCAGGGTTTAGCACAGACGAGGGGAAGCTTTGGTGAGATGATTTTATGTTCGGTTAATTCGCAGCTAATTACTCAATAAAGCGAAATACTAATTAACAACTTGAATGCTCAATTCTTAATTAATGAGTACTATTGACTTGTTAGATGAGCCAGCATCGCCCCGTGGCTTAGGGCGCAGGATTTCAACTCGGTCTCCCCGGGTTCAAATCCCACTCGACTGGCAATGCTTGAGCGTTTACCATTTGTACGGAAATTTCGGTGAAAAATGTCCGTTAAATGGTATTGGTATTATTTTTGGCACCGAAAACAGGAACTGGATTGAGTTGTACCATTGATAAAATACCGGTAAATTTTTCACTTTCTCTCGACACTGGTAATCCAAACAATTGGTACAGAAAATTTCAGTCGTTTCGGTAAGAACGGGAAAAAGGTAATACCTCGAAAGGTATTACTTTTTTCCGGAAAACTTCCAGCGGGATGAACCGTTCCATTTGAATTCTGCCCGGAATTTCCGGGTTTTCCATACAAATGGTAAGCGCTCCTGGTAAATGGCCATCTGGTTTGCCTCTTACTTCTATGTTAATTGAAATATTTCTTTCACTCCCTCCTATGTTGGCCACAAACCCTAAAAAGCGCATTTCAGTATTTAGTTTCTTATTTTTTAAAATGCATTCATTAGCAATGCATTATTTTCCACACCGCTTGCCACGTTTTTTATTTTCTCAACGAATTCTTTTTCTGGGAGGCTCCGTCCCGAGGTTACCCTAGGTACCAGAGGTTTTTCTCGCGTGCGGCGGGAATTTGCGGTGTTGGTCGTAGGCCGACACATCTTCGGCCGTAGGCTTTTCGCGCGGACCACTATAAAGACTTGACAGAAACCGGAAACCGCGCTAGAAAAGTCTCTGGCACCCAGTTAATGGTTTTGAATTTTAAAAATTATGCATGAGTAGAAAGAATAAAACGTTTCTGTTACGAACCTTGCTTGGAACTGCCTGTTCTTCAACTTGAACTTCTGAAAAAAAGAGAGGAGGAAAAAGTAGAACAAATAAGAAGAGAGTAGCATAAACTGCGCAATCTTCACGACCCATATTTTAATGGTGCAAGCAGCTGGGTCCTAAGTTCTTCATCTGATCAAGAATTTTGACAACAAAAAAGGAAACCACTTGTAAAATTACAAAATATGATAGCCATCCCACTTTGTAATACCTGTAGGTCGCAATTTGTAACAAAAATAGTAACAGATGGATTACTGAAGTACAAAAAATGTAGCTTGGGAGCTTCTGGATAGCACCTTCACTTCGTTTTTAAATTGCATGAAAGCAAATATATCCCATCATGTTACATTAGTGATGAATAACAGCGTTTCGCATTTCTCCGCATCATCATCATCCAAATACCTTATTACACTCGCTCTGACTGGAAAGGTATAAACCTATTTTCGTAACACATTGTCTACATAAAAACCTGTATTAAATCTGTCCCCCAGTCTTTTAAAACAAAAGGGGACAAATGAACGCTTTAGGCGAAGAAGAGGAGTGTTCGTATTAAAGCGCAAAACCATAGCAGCTTCTGATCCTAAACAAACACTCGTGAAGGTCCCCTGGGTGTTTGCTAATCCAACAAAGCAGTCCTTCCCTCCCCACCACAGAACATTAAATAATGAACGAACACTTCTTTCGTACCCGGTTCGTCATCATCATCATCATCGTCGTCATCCTCATCAATGTCTATTTCTTCTGGGTTTGTAACTGTCTGTGTTTCCTCACTTTCTGCGTGGCTTGTTTCACCCCTGATGTGAAATTAATATAATGTATAACTTGTTAAACAGAGATGCAGATTAGTGTTAGACGCTCGCATACATGTCAACAAAAACATAGACAATTGTTTTGTTTTTGTTTAAAGTTTCTATTCTGCGCGCGAGTATATTCTGGCAATTATGAGACTCACGGTTCCTTTACCCAAAACACCAACCCAATTCTCTCCTTTTCGGAACGTTCTCACCCTAGGGTTCATGAGGGACGCGCGGGGGAAAAGTATTGGAGAGTAAGCGGATAGTTAACGGGACTATAGCATTCTCATTTTGTTTCTTCGCAAAGGCATTTAAGTGTTTATACTCGCTTTATGCGACGGCGAGAGATGACAAAAGTTACCTCAAGAGTCGAAGGAGGTACTTTCTGAAACTTCAACGCGCCGGAAAGTTGCTTGCTGCTGCATTTACTTTTGAGGACAAATAGCAAAAGTTTTCGCAGAACAACACTCTCATTGGTGTCTCACGTGTAGCCAAGAATGCAAGCTGCCGTAACATCAGGTCTCGGGTCTCTTTTTCTCAGGCAGAAGCAAAGGGTGGAACATATTAATGCTACCTTGAATTTACCTACATCTGGGTCGAGCTATCTTACCTGACGAACAACACTTTCTCCTTTAACTTGGCGGTGATGTCGGCTTTACTGGCTGGTGCTGCCGCGGCTGCTTGAGCCTGCTGTTCTAACCGCTGCATGTCATCTGCTACTGGTTCATCAGTACCTTTACAAAAGAGCAAACACGTTGTGAGTAACAGCATTCACACAGAAGGGTACTCAACCGAGTCACTATACAGTAAGGATATAGAAATTTAGGCATAGACCCGCTTTTGAGTTGAAAAGATCTTGAGAACAGCTCTTCATCGTCAAAAGTAATAATCAACATTACCGACACCACTACAAACTAACATCAAAATCATCACCGTCATTGTTGTTGTTGTCGTCATCGATCATTAGGGAGCTTTAGCAACGACGACGGCAACGGCAACGAGGACGTCAAAAAAGCAAAAGGTTTATTACGCAAAACAACAACTTTGCACGTGCATCACGCTTTTTTGTACATTTCTTTACCGTCCTTGCAGGACTACGACGTGAAAATGCCAAATTGCAAGTTTTTTGGAGGACGTAAACAAGCGACGACGAATCTCTTTTTCTCTCCCTAAACGTGAGCGCGGTCCTCAAAACATCAACACCAGGGAAATTCGCCTACACTTGCCATTTTCAGCAAATTGGAATAAACACGACAAAGATTGAGAAAACGGGAATTCATTTTAAACCTGACGTTTTCGCTGCCGTTGCCGTCGTCGATGCTAAAGCTTCCTATTAGGCGCTTAAGCATCCACGACGAAGACTGCGAAGAATATTTCAGTTTTAACTTGAAGTGAATTCACCTTATTTAGACCTCAAAGCGACAATTGTAACTTCCTTTCAGTTGATTGTCATCATCATCATCATCATCAACATCATTCTCGTTATGAATTCATTCAAAATAGTTCTCCGTTTCTGATTGGCTAAAATCCCGCGTATAATTCATCGTAACCAGCTATTGTCGACTAGCCTATACACAGACGTTGTTTTATTTTTCTGTCTGTGAACAGGCTAATTGTCGACCAAATTTGGAAGAAAAATGACGTCAATCAAAAAATTGCCAGGTTATTGAACCGTTAACCGAGAAGACCCGGAGAGAGGTCGAGTTGTTTTGGTAGTGACTACAAAATGGCAGACCATTTCAGTCGTTTCACGAGGAAGAGGTAGGCGAACTATTGGCTAACAAACATAGCAAGAACAGCAAGAAGACAACTCGACAGACGACATCTGCTATTTCGAGAATATCTACAGACCTGAACAACCCTGCGCTATCGAAGATAAACTTAACATCGATGGAGGTATAGCTTGTTTTTAAACTAGGAACTATTTTGAATGAATAATAAAACAATTATTGAATTCGGCTTTCGTATCATCTAAAGAATTATGGAGATCGAGGAGGGTGTTATCCGCCTGGGCCGTTAATTATCATCCTCACTATCACCATCATTATTACATTTCTGACAATATTCATTATCTTTGTTATTACAGTAACAGCCCTCATGTAAAAACCTACAGGCTGAACTTTGGCATTTAAATACCCAAAAATATAAGACCCTGTTTAGTCTGGAAAAGAAAAATACGTTCTTATACAAACAAATCACTCCAGTTTTGATGGTTAAAATTCTGGATTTTAATTGTGTGAGAAACTTCTGACAGAAAGTTACTGTGTATATGCTTTCTTTGATTTACCTCTGTTTGGATTTTCGCTAGAAATCTGTTTTCCATAAACCGTTATGTATTAGTAGTACTACATTTCTGCCAGTGGTTACACTATGACAACCTCTCAAAAATAGCAACCTATTAAGAACCTAACCAGCCTGAATTGTGAAAAACTACCGTATAATATAAGAACCTGTTCAGCCTGACCTCGAAAATTCTAAGTTCTTATATGTGGGCTTTTACTGTATGTCACCATCGTCTTAAATATTACAGAATCTTACTTGCTCCGGCAGTCTTGCTAGCGGCTGCCGCCAACATTTGTGCTGACATGAAATTAACCTAAAATATGAACAGTCATATCTTGTTAGTCGAAGGCTCTTGGCGTGGAAAACCCACGGCGTCTATTATTGCGTTTACGCGAACAAATGTAGCTCACGAACACTAGTAAAGTATATAACCTTACAAACTGGGTCTCTATTGGGAAATATGGCCAAATGAGAGAAAGGAGACGGCTTTTTTATTTCGTTAAGTCGCTAGTGTGAACAAGGAATGACAAGGCCCTGAGCTCAGACCTTTTGCAGGCGCCAGTTGCTTAAAAAGATGGATAGCGCTATCAAGTCGATAGCGAATTTGGTTTCTCCAACACTTTTCCACTGGGTAGTGATTTAGGATCAATTTAGGTTTCTGGGAAACTTCCTACTTACCCCTCCCCTAATCCAACTTTTTACCCTAAGTGAGAAGTAAGTGTTAATGTTGACTTAGGGGAAGGGTAGGTGGGCAGTTTCCGGCCCAGAAACCTTAATTGATCCGTGATGTACATTTATTTGGGCCGGGTTTTAAACACAGCGCGCTAAATACTATGCCACTGAGACTCAGCACAATAGGCTTGACTTGACTGAATAAGATTCTGACCTGCGTGTTGAACTGCGCCTGGACGCTCCTTTTGATTCGCAGCATTTCACGGAATGTATCCTCGTTTCCGTGCCGAACCTCGAAGTCATGCCACACTTTCCAGAACGCTGGAGTGGTCTGTAAAAAAGACAAAAAGATTAGAAAACGAACTGACTTTTGAAAAGGAACGAAATATGTATACAAACCCGTGGATCAGCCAGCTGTGAAGCGTGCATGTAAATAGCCCTTGCACGGTCAATTTCCCCTAATTTACGCTCAAGGTCAGCGAATCGGACGCACATTTCCCTGTAGAGATATAACACAAAGAACAAAAATGGTACGTATTACACAACGTTCTGCTGATCAGATTGTTCATTGTAAGACAAACCTCTCACTGCTGTGAAGCGAGCAATCGCCCTTTCCCATGGACAACAGCTAAATCAGCTGCACACCATAATGGCTCCATGAATGTTAGCTCAATACAAAATATAGCCAGCGAGCGGGCTCACTTGTGAGAGTTTAAGGAAAATTCGCATAAGTGAGCCTGCTCGCAAGCTATATGAAATATCACTAGCCAATATCCGCTGACTCAATAATAACCCAATTCATAGCCTGTGTAGCTGGCAGGATAAGCGGCCGAGTGCCGTGTTCTTTTTGGCAGCGCAGCCGCGAGAATATTAGGAACAAGTCAAATTTTTCTTCATGACGGCTCCACAGCCAGAACAAAAACCCATGCACAGTAATTTTTAGGGAGTTACTATAACTCCAAAAATGGAGTAAAAAATTTTAGGTACAGGATAACCCCCTTTTGGGGGTTATTTCAACTCCTAATTTAACTCCGAATTTGGGGCATTTTTACTCCTGAAAAAGAGTTCTTTTTTACTCCCAGACTGGAGTTAAAATAACTCCGAAATGGGGTTACTTTTACTCCTTACATGGGTTGTTTTTATTCTTTTTGGAGTTAATTTAACTCGGAAAGTGGAGTAAAAATTTTAGGTACAGGATAACTCCTTTTGGGGGGTTATTTTAACTCCTCAATATCTGGGGTCACTTTTACTCCTGAAAAAGAGTTCTTTAAACCCCTTTTTGGAGTTAAAACAACTCCCCAAAAAATAACTCCACTGTAAGGAGTTAAATTAGCCCCACTAGAGGAGTTATTATAACTACTTGAAAATTACTGTACAGGCATAATAATCCAACAGCTACATAAGCTTCACAATTCTATCAGAAGCTTTCTCTACGGTGGGAGTCTGCTGTCCACTTTTGAGAAATGTTCAATTATTTAAAGCAGTTTAGGTAGAGGAAAGTGAGAAATAAGGTCGGGTGTCAGCCATTAGACAGATGAACGACAAACGGCAAACGTGAGATGCAAGTTGACAATTTCTCAAATTAGGAAATGAGCAGGTAAAAGCTGTCCAAATTAATTCTTACGGATGAACACAATAGGAGACAATTTTTTCTCGTAGAAATAATAGAGAGTTTAAGCGTCACGTACACGGCAAACGGCAAAAGTCCGATTCAAGTTGGGAATTTCTCAAAATAGAAAATGAGCAGATGAAAACGGTTCAAAACAATTCTTATGCAGGATAAAAATTGCGTGAAGCTACTAATTTATGCGAGGAAATAATGAACAGTAAACGACAAGTAAAGAGGAAACTTGGTCACGTGGTACAAACTCGCGTTTGCCGTTTGACGTAAACGCGAAACTTAACCTCTTTACTAAATGAAGGAAAACGTTGGTCACGTTGTACAATTTGACGTTTGCCGTTTGCCGTAAACGCGATTGTAAATCTCTAATGCTGTTCACCTTACAACCGAGACCTGTCCACCCAACAGTAGAGTCCCCTTAGGGACAGCTGCTCTTATGAACGTTGAGTGGTGAAACAACCGTAAGTTAAATTTTTTTCTATATCTGAGCTTCTGTATACAACACCTTACCTGGACTGCTCATCTGGGAGCACTTCAATGGCTTTCTCGTAGATTTCTCGCGTATGTGTCACGCCAAATATCTCTGCAGCTTGTTTAATGTACAAGTTGAACATCTATGGAGAAAGAAACACATTTGAGTTAGAACTACTTGGGAGCTTTCAAGAGAGCAGTTTACTCTTTGAAAGAGAGGCTAAATAGATTGGTAATCGAAAACAAAGAACCTGCCTGTAGAACTTACATTACAAAACAAAGAACACAAACATTTGACGCAAGAACTCGACTACAGTAGGTTTCGAAATCAGGGTTAAGACCAACGAGTTTTCTGTCCGCCCCCTCACCCTTGTCGAGATATTACTCTAGACATATGTGTTATCATAGCTAAAAGATGACAGAAACTTAAAATCAGATCCATCCTCATATTGTTAAAAAAAAAACCTGAAAGGTTAGTTATTATTTTTTTGCCACAAAGTTAGCATTAATAGGGCATTAATATATTAGTAGCATTATTATAATATATTTCTTGTGAACAAGGAATCTTACTTCAAACTGTTCCTCTGGTAACACGGCTTTCGTTGCTCTCTCGTATATCGCCATTGCATGTCGAGCCAGGCCGTGGTCCTCTTCAAGCTTGGCATACATCAAGTAGAAAGCTGAAAAATAACAGATCACTTGGTGAAAATCCAGATTTTCGCCTTTGATTTCTACAGCACAGAACAGGGTTAAAAGAGCAACGGAATCGCAACAACATAATTTCTTTCCATCTCACATTTCGCGAATTTAGCAGGACAGCCTTCGAGAACTTGTTCAAAGAGATCCCTTGCACGTTCAAGTTTTTTACCACCCTAAGAAGGTAAATAAAAAGATAATTGACGTTGGAAACTGTTCACTTCAAACTGGTTCTAAGCGCTCCCGCACTGTTTAAGTCAAGTAACTTTCCTTTGACTCACAAATATACTGTTATTATACAGTACAACAAAATGATATATAACTTTAGCCAGGGCTAAAAGCGAGGCTCTCATTAATATACTTTAATTTTATTCAAAACAAAAAAAAAACATTGAAACGGCGACGGCAACGGCAACGGAAACGGCAAAAAAATCAGTACTGACTCTAGTTAGTTAGCAAAAAACAACTTTGCACCTGCAGCACACATTTGTACATTTCTTTGCCGTTGTTTTGCATGACTACAACATAAACTTCTTACTTACACATTTTTGGGAGGAAATGTTATATGTGTTCCTGTTCGCTTTTTTCCGCTAGCGCTCATTTTCAACTTGGTGGCCGCTAGCATTTTTCATTTTCTCACCGCCGCTATAAAATTTTAATGTCTTTCTTCCAACGAAATTCGTCTCCTTTATTTGTATCTCTCACTTTAGCTCTTTCTCTCTTGTCCACGTTAAAATTTAGTTGGAAAGAAGATTCGGCTTTGATAGCTGTCAATTCATCTTCATATGCATGGCGTAAATAACTGACAGGCTATTGTCATTTTCCATGTCTTAGTATAGTGCTGGTAGTAAATGTGACGTTTGACAATGGCTTACATGCAGGGGGTGGACGGACGTACGGACGGTCACGTGACTACCAAAATTTAACATTTTTTCTTACTCATAGTGCTCCACTAACGGTTAGCATTAGATCCCATAGGCCTAAACACCCTTGGACACCTTATGAATTTTATACGACCTAGTATTCCTTATCGCTTCGATCAGTTTCGAGCACTGACTATAGTGATTAGGGATAAGAAACAATACAGATTAGGGTTGAGCACTGAAAATAGTGATTAGGGATGAGCACTCACTCCAAACGGTTAGCTTCTATTTAGGGTTAGGGTTGTTGCTATATAGCTTCAAATCAACCCAATGCTCGCCAGCGAATCCTCAGTGGCGTAATGGTATAGGTGCAAACACTACGCTCCAGGTTCGGTTCTTACTCTCACTCTTCTGAATTTTTTTTCCTTAAAAAATGAAGAGACTTACACTTTCAACATTACCTGAGCAGAAATGTCAAGAAACTTAGAAATTTCATCTAACTGTCGTGAAGAAGTTCTGAACCAACTTACATATCGCTGAATAAACTTTGTAAGATACGTGTTCCAGATATCAAAGACATTGGGCCATTTAAACATCGCGACTCCGCGCTCATAAACCTGCAAAAACAAAACACAAAGCCTGCGTCAGGGAAGGCTCAGAGACACTTTGCATGAACTGGTACTTATTACATGTGTTCAAACTCTCTTCCCTTCAGTAGCACAAAAGGAAGTTGGAAAAGCAGTAAGAAGAATATTTATGCTAATGTCAACTGACCTTGAAAGCCTCCTCAAAATAGTGATGTTCTTCCAGAAACGTACAAAAGTTGATGATTATCTGAGGCGTGGCTATCCGCAGGTCTAGAATTCGATTATACACTGCTTTTGTCGACTGCAAAAAAAGTAGTAGATTAGTTACTGAAGATGAAATACGATAAATAATGGTAACAGACTGAGTGAATCTCAAGTCTTTTAACCTTCTTTACACGAAATAATTTGAATCTGTTGTTACCTGAAATGTACCCAGACTCTCCTCTAAGTCAGCATACATGGACCAAAGCTTCAAAGATTTGTAAACACGTCTCTGTACTGTTTCAGTCTGAACGAAAGAAAAAATGTTGACTGAAATAATTGCTTTTAGGGAACCATCAAAAGGAAAGTGAAATAAAATATACATTTTTTAGTGATCCCCGGTATGTGTTTTATAGCATAAACAGTTTACCGAGAAACAAGACAGTAGAATTGAGCCCGAATCATATAACCCTAGGGTTATATGCTTCTGATTGAACCCAGCACTTCAACTTTTTGTAGTATTTAGATTGAAATTCCTACGTTCTAACGGCCCGGTCATACTACCTACTTTCCTTGAACAAATTCTCTTACCTCATCATAAAAGTCGGTCTTCACAGACGGCATGGCAGTGGCCCTTCTCATAAGATCTAGGGCTCGTTGGTAGTTTCTGCAAGTAATTGATTTGAAAATACAACAAATACACGGTAAACAAACAACTAATATTAACTTACAAAATCTGAGTCACAGACTACATTCCAACACGTCATATCCCAAATACCACTGGGCACTTTACCCAAAGGGTAGGAAGAGGGTGAGCTAGCTCATATATGGTAAATACTAGGTCTTCATGTACCAATGCTTTTAATACTGGCACAGGGAAACTATTCGGTCGACAGTACTTCATAATTTAATTTGTACTTGCTTATGTGCGTTTTCCGCTTTTGGTGCTAGCTACGGGCAGTTACCTCGAGTTCTAATTGGTTCATCTGAATTACCGTGCGCATTGTGATTGAAAGAGTAATGACTTTGGTTGTGCAATAGTAAGCTTCATGATTGTCTGAAACGCCATTTTCTACACCAATCAGAGGTGAAACCAAAACAAACCACGACATGCTCACGTGCTATTTCCCGCGCTTTGTGTCGGCTACGTGGATTTGCTTCGCTTTCTGATTGGTTCACCTGAATTCCGTGCGCATTGCGACTGACCAGAGTAATAACTTTGGTTTTGCAATAGTAAGCTTCGTGATTGATTGAAACTCCTTTTTCTCAGCCAATCAGAGATAAAACCAAAACTAATCGCGACCTGTTCACCCGCTTTTCCCGCGCTTTTTGCCATTTGCTTCTTGTTTGAATTTCCGCACGCAATGGGATTGGTCACTTTACAGATAAATATACCACCAAATTAACTTACTCATGCCTGATCTCCATTTCGCTAAACTCGCACCACACACTAGCCAGATCGTCCACTTTACGGTAGTTTACTTTAGTAGCTTTATCAAATATCACTCGTGCCTCAGCCAACTGACCATGCTGCTCGTAAAACTTTGCAAACTCCACCCAAAGAGTGTGAGGTTTGCCCGCCGCCAGTTTGGGGTCCACCGTTTGAACTGCCTCTGTGTACGTGTTAATGATTTCTTTCGGTTTTCCCTCGTATAATTTCACTCTTTTATGCCATTCGTGTACATTGTGGGGATTTTGACGCAAAAGAACGCTAAAGAACGAAAGGAAAACGGTGAAATGAAATTAGATAATGACAATAAAAAAGGTATCTTTACTTAGCAGAAGTCATTTCTGTCCTTACTACGCAATCATCCCAGCATATGTAGGTCTAGCTGCTTACAGGGCAAAGACAGTACCTTTGTCTTCAGCTATTTTAAAACCGAAAAATTCACTTGGCTGCTGTCTATCACCAAACCTCTGGCTCTGCAGATCAGCGCTCTTTTAAAGGCCGATTTAGTTGGTTTGACTTTATCGAGCTACATTGTGATTAAGGACAATAAAATCATTGTTGATCGAAAAGAAAAGACCCAGCAAAACAATCCGTTATAAAGTAACGTTCCTCTCTGTATTCTATTTTAAAAAAAAATCACGCAACGCAATTGTTTGAGAAAAAATAAACGGCTTGCCTAATACAAGTTTACACAAGAAAGGTTGTCTTATATTGTCATTGTCTTAAACAAAGGTGTGAAAAAAAGGAAATTAAGAAAAAAGCCGAAATGTTCCATCACCAATTTCAAAGATTTACTTCAAAGCAATGACAAAATCAACCTCTGCTAGACAGATAAGAGATTTAATAGACCACTGCACTGAAAGAGTTTCATGGCCACACCTCCTTATATAAGTACCTGCTAAGGAGAAGTGGTCTTCTGTCCATGAGATGTTCAAATCTTGCCATCCTAAGTTCTAAGTCGATGTCATCTGACAACCAAAATTAAATGCACGGTTATTTTAGACTACAGAAATTGGCCACGATCAAAAGCTTATCAAAACTGACGTTTTGAAAAGCAGCCCTTCGTTAGTACGAACTGAGCAACTGTGGGCTGTATGTGGAAAATACAAGCACAGTTATATAAGGTTCCAAACAGGAAAAATTAAAAATTACTTGAAAGAAAAGTGTTCAGTGACAGTAAAACAGTCTGCTTATTTAATGCTCCTGAAAGATGACGATGGATTCTGCTTAACAAAAAGTGAAACTAGAGAACTTCCCCGCCCCATCCATTTGCGAGTCACCACCACCCGGTTAGCTCAGTTGGGAGAGGACCGGTCTGCCAAGCAAGGGGAAACGAATTTAAACCTCGGCCACACCAACAATCAGGGTCTTTAAAAAAACTGGTAAGATCATACTGGCTGTGATTTAAGATCTTGTGTCAGTTCAAATGATCGCATCATTGAGCAGTCACGTTAAGCCATTGGCCTTGTATCCTTCCTCCTTTGGTATCAATTGGAAAGAGACTTAAAAGAACCCACACTGCTGTTCGAAAAGAGTAGAGGACGTAGACCCTGCTGATGTGATCTATCTCTCAGGGGGAGGGGACCTTTACGGGCCCGCAGTAATTGACGTCATGCTGTTGTAGTGACCCTGCCAAGAAACGGTGAATCTAACTAGTAATAACCAAAGGTTACGGAGCGCGGGCGACAACGATCGAAGGTTAAAACGCTTTTGCTCCAGCGATGTGCTTTGCGTAAGTTTCACGTGACAGAGGGTCAAAACACGCGTGATCAGATTACGAGGGTTAGAAAGTCCAAACGCGCGTGATCAAATTGCGTTATGTGCATTCCATTCATTCTCAGTGGAAGTCCAAACAAATGCTGGCTACATAAATGCGACGCATGCGTAATAACATTAGGATTGGGGCTCCTATGTTGCCCCGCAATAAAATAAGTTCAGTATTGCTTGCATTACAGTATTGTGTGTGTAGTCAAGCTTGAATAAAAAAGCATCCCTTCTTGCCAAAATATGAGCAACTAAGAATGATTCTTCTGTAACAGGAACAGGATGAAATAAATGACAGTGTACCTTCCTCAGTTGCACCCATTTCTGCTGTGGTTTCCATCTTAGCACTGATCATGCTTTCCTCAAATTGTGCATAAGCATCAAACACCTACAAAGTAATTTAACAACACCAACAACAAGTCAGTCCACCCATCACTGCCTGAATCCCATGCAATGCACAGTTTGTAAAAGCAAGTGATCAGTCAATTGATCTGTGAGTCAGAGTCAATAATCCGATCAGTTATATTTAACAATACCTGCCCAAAATCTCTTACAGTCATTACAGTTTGAATAGCCTCTTCATACACATCTCGAGCCTGAGGAAATATAAATCAACATTTGCTCATTAAGTTGTCAGATCACTCAAAGGCCTTCTTCCTTTCACCCCTTTGTTCATATTCGCAGAGACCAAAGGCCTCACCTTTTCAAAGTGTCCGCTTCTTATGAAGAAATCTGCCAGTGAATTCCACAGTTGACCTAAGCTGTCAGAAAAGCGACGCAAACCTCCTCGGATAATGTCAGCAACTTTGAGGCTCTTGATCTGAGGAAAGACAGCACTATAATTTATTCAAAACACCATATCTTTCTAACTTTGCACATTAGGTACCAAGGCTAACTTTTGTTTTTGCAGCCAAAACGTTTTACAATTTTGATTTCTCTTTTCTATTAGATCATATATAAAGGACAAAACATCAGTGATTTTGTTACCTCTGCGTCCTGTGTCCCTGATGCATAAAAACCCCAAAGACGAAAAATAATTCATGGCCTGCATGGAACGCAAAAACTGATTGATTGATCTTAAGATGTTTTTAATTTGTTTAATATCCTATTCATGTGATTTCTGTGGCTGTTCTTGAGGCTGTTCTTTAATGATGCATAATTGCTTTAGTCTTTGTTATGCTTTACAATAAAAGAAGTACATGTTAATTTTTATTTCAGTTAACTGTAATACAGACTTTTGGGCTCTGTCTTCAGATTAACTGTTGCTTACACAAAGGCCCAAGCATTTTCAATTTAGGACTCATTGTTTTTTGAACTGGGCCTCAATGGTTCTGGATTCAGGGGCACCCATCGAGAATATAGTTTAAAACCACTTAAACATAGCATTGTTGAAAGTATTTTAGTATTTAAATGGTAGAAATAGGCATATTTTTATCCCCCAAAAGTTTTCCATTTGTTCGGATTTCCTAGCTGAAAGTCTAGTGATCCGAAAATTATATGGATCAAACCTTACCTTTTCGAAAATTTCAGCCAGAAAAAAGGCTCCCGAAAATTCTAGGTGACCTTTTTAGGGTAAAAATCCGTTAAAAATGGGTAATTATATCATTTTTTAGATGTTCGAAAATCCCAGGAGAGACAGGCAAGCAAGAAATTTTACAACAAATGTTCCGAAAATTCTAGATCTCAAATCGTTTTCCGAACAGATGTTTTCCGAAAATTGACGTTGGGTGCCCCTGTGGATTGGGACTCATGATTTTTCATAAGATCAGAATCCAAGCAGGACTTACCACAATTATTTGCAACAAAATCAGTGAAACATAGACATATGTTGTGTAGATCAGAGCAGTTGGCTACCTGTCATAATATGTTACGGTCAAACTCCGCTAATGAGGACACTGATTGGGCCATAGAAAGTGTCCATATTAACAGGGTGTCTGTATTAAGTGGGTCATGTTAAGAACAAAGTTGAGGTTGTGTCTTATTACCAGGCATTTAGGCAAAATTTTCAGTTTGTCAACTTGAAAGAATCAAGTTCAAAACTTCAGTGTGCGTCTTATAACCAAGTGTACCTTATAACCAAAAAATACGGGAAGTAAAAATACACCTTTCATTTGGACAAAATACTAAACAAATAAAAGGGAAACTATCACTGTCCAATTATGCATATCAAACCATCACAAAAGCCATGATTGCCAACATGTATGTCCATGGAAGCAATCAAAAGTCGATCATTTATATGTTACTTAATCAACAACCATTCTCTGCAAAACTCGTTTGATGCCGGAATAGTCTCTAACTGACATTTAAAATTCATCCTATCCAGTGTACTGTAGCAATATGGGAACGTCAACATGCTGTCACCTAAAGCTTTTTTCACCTTAAAAAAGGAAAGGCTTATTACAGCACACTGTTGACGATGAAGTGTCCACATTAGCGAGGTTGTCTTTCAATGAGAACCTGTTGATTGGGCAAACAAACAAGTGTCCATTGTCCACATTAATGGGTGTCTGTATTAAGCGGGTTGAATTTAGAGAAAATATCAGGGCTTTCTATCGCCAAGGACAAGGAAAACTGTCTGCAATAATGAGGTGTCTGTATCAAAGCAGGTGTCCTTTAAGCAGGGTTTGAGTGTATTATGTTACAATGATCACCTTATCTGGATTCTTGGATATAAGCTCACACAACTCTTGCCACAGCTGAACAAAAAAAGACACAAGCAAACTTTTAATAATTATGGAAAGTATGCATACAGTGTATATGATAGTAGAGACACTCAGAATCATGTTCACAGCAAATGGCAATCTGCAACACATGACCAACATTTCCCTTTGCTTAAAATATAAGTAGTTTCACACCAGACCTGTTCATTCTTAACAATTATTTCAGACATTTTTTGTTAGTTCATTTCCTTGTTTTATAAATTTTTTTAGTAGAATCTCATTTTTGCTCACACAACTCTTGCCACAGCTGAACAAAAATAGACACAAGTAAACTCTTAATAACTGTAGAAAGTATGCATATATATGATACTAGGGAAACTCAGAATCATGTTTACAGCAAATGGCAATCTGCAACACATGACCAACATTTACCTTTGCTTTTTCTTATGTCTGCACTGAAATATAAGTAGTTTCAGACAGTTTTTGTCAGCTCATTTCCTTGTTTTATAAATTGTCAAGTAGAATCTCATGTTTGCTGTAATTTACATGATTTCTAAATCTCTCATTAACATAACCCATGCCAATTACCACCATCATTAGTGAATTCATTAGGCTGCAGGTTTACAACTATCAAATATCAAAGTTATTAAGTATTAAAAAGTTATGATGTTAGATATACCTTATGATTTGATTTCCCTTCCTTAGATACAAATTTTTCCTGGGAAAAAAATTGTAAATCAATAAATGCCAAGCACAAGAGAGTACCATACAAAAAGGAAACTATGACCATGTTGTATTCCGTCAGTCCTGGTGAGAGTGTAACGTCAGGTCAGTTTAATTAAACTTTTACAAGTGTAATTTACAAGTGTAGCTATTGTTTTCAGACTCCAAAACAGTGGCTACACTATGTAAAAGTTTTGTTTATTAAATTGACCCCTCACTCGATAAACTGTAAATTTGTATTCTCAAACATTCAGGTTCTCAGTCATCATTAAATAAACCCTTGTGTATGCAGCTCAAATTATATATAATAAATATCAGAACACAGTACCAGAGTGATGTCCTAGTCAACTATAAGAGTGCTCAATAGTTGAACTAGAAACCACATGTGCTCATTCAAGAACGAACATTACAAGCATGCAATGGAACTTAGCAAATATAATTATTTGGAACTTGAAGGATAAGAACGTGAAATATACCATTAAATGGTGCAAAGTAAAGCAAGCAAAATCGCATACAAACGTCACCAAGAAATGTAATTTGTGCTTGTTGGAGAAATACTATATAATTTGTAAACCAGAAATGTCTAAAGGTCCTGAACAATAGAAATGAACTAATCTCAGGTTGCAGACACTCTAAGAAATTTGTACTAAACACTGCCCTAATTTGATTATTAGTTTTTGTCACAAATTTGGCATGTTGTAAGCATCCCTTTATTAGTGGCATGAAGTGCCACGCACCATACACCACGCCTAGGATTTATTGTTCTGTTTTCCCTATATCGTTTTGGCAGTTGCCTTCCTCAATTAGGCTATTCATCAACCTTCACTTTGGTTGAATTTTTAACCTCTATGATATTTGTTTGGTTAAAAAATCCCAGACTGAAGCAAGAATTTTCTTAGAGGTGGGATGGAAAATAAGGGGGCAAACCTGGAAGGAGATTTGGGCTGTTTTGGTTCTTTTCAGTCAGAAAGTGACCAGAAAATAGCTGGACTATCTTCAAATGGTGCTTTTTGATAAAATCTTTAAATCATTAACAGTGAGAATAAGTTGACAGTATTCCCAGCAGATGAATGTACCTTATTAACAATGAAGGCAAGTCGGGTGGCCGCTTCATCCAGCCAGCCCACAGATTTGAGATAATCAATATAATCTTCTGTGTTCTCTGGTTCCAACTGTCACAAAAATGTTAAGAATTAAAACAGGTAATTATTAAGTTAAATGAACTGGGTTACAGCAGCTGCAATGATTTCATTTAACATTATCACCAGCAACTAAAGTACCAGTCTGTTTGCTGCAACAAGATACATCAATGGTTCTAAAAACCAGCTAGACCCTAAAGCATACATAGGCCACTTGTTAACCCTCTATAAAGTCCCAATATCCACATACAAATTCTCCAAACTAATCTCTATACATTGCCATAAGGAATAAGTTCAGAGAATTTGGTAGAAGATCGAAGCAGTTTCTCTTTAGATGATTATTTCATGAATTCTCACAACCTTGTCTCTTGACTGTGTATTATACATTGTTGGGAGAAAATTGATGTTGGTCACTTTTGGACTAAAAGGGTTAAGATGGACAGCATGCTAAAATGGGCACCTAGAGTAAGTCCCTAACTTTCTATACTTCTTTTAGTTGACTCTCTCTAAGGCAGACATCTCTCAAAAATGGACATGAAGTAAAACCACCCAGCAGGAAAGGAGGAGAGGGAGCCAGAATCCGCAGTGATTCACAAGAAGGCAAAAATTGATCCGCTACGATCAGTAAGCAAAGCTACATTGCAACGCAACACTAGCAAAAGAGCACACAAGGAGGCCCGCAATTCCCGAGAGTCGCCCCATAGTTCACTTACTGGAGTGGGAGAAGACCGCTGACTAACTTGCTCGAGTTTAACTTTGCCTAAATGATATTTTAGTCACATAAATGGACATGAAGTAGTAGTCCCAAAGGTCTCCATTGACTCACCTTTAAGTACCTCCTGTACACTCTGACAGCAGTCTCCGGAATATGATACTTTCGCACAAACTTGAGATAAAGAGGCCAAATACGACGATGCTGAGTTATAGGAAGTGCTCTCAAAGCTCGATCAAAAGTGCGCCTTGTTCTTGTCACTTTACACTGATCAACTAAGAACTGGCAGTAGTCTATCCAGATTCTTGGCATCTGATTAAAACAAACATTCACCCGGTCAGTCAAATTAGGTGGCTAAAGTATAGCACTTCTTGGTGTTGCGGAAACTATGTTTGGTTAGGTATTGTGTTGTGTTGTGTTATGGATACTTTTTGCTGTCTC